AGTAGTAGTTAAGGTAGTACTAATTAATTAGTTGTAGGTAGGTACGTACGGTAACGTAATTACCTATAGTGGTAGTAGTACCGTAACTAAACAACTACTATATATATATATATATATATATATATATATATATATATATATATGGGTGAAGTCATATAAGGCACCCTCCTTATACTATAGAATAAGGCGCACCTCAAAAATTTGCCTCAATATGCAGTTTCGGTGTTAGAAATCTTATAATTGCTTGAAAATTTGTTTTCATCCCTATTTACAAAGTTTAGGTTGGGTTTTTGGCCTTTAAAAGCCTAGAGAGCTTGTAAAATAATGCTTTATAGTGGAATATATACTTCAATGGGACTGTGTGTTGATTGACCATGGGTTAGGAGATTTGTGACCCCGGTTATGTCTAAAATCCTTACCCTTGGGCATGTGACACTACCGAGAGGGGTTTACAGTGGGTCATCCCTACTTGAGGTCGGAGACATGCTTAGGGATGATGTTTGCAGGCCAGGAGAGCTATGTGGTCTCTTGTGTGTTGTTGTAAGCCTGTGAGAGTAAGGGTCAAAGCCTGAACATACTTCCACACGGCATTTACACATGATAACCACATTATTGGGAAACAACCTTGTAAAGGGATACATGTACATGTGCATAGAGAGAGCCCCCTTTGTATTGTACTGACAAATGTTAGACTTGCTCGTAAAAGGGGGAACTAAAATCTAAATTCCAATAACATAGTTCTACTATTTATTGACCAACTTTGACAACTAAATCATGAGCCCTTGCATTGAGACTGTGGGTCATGAGTCTTTGTTGGATTGGATGAGTAAACAACAATGGATCATGGTTCTTAGGTCAAGTGGAGTGCCCGTATTGTCACTGGTCTTGACTCATTGGTACCGATCCACTTCCAAACAGTGCTTCAAAAAGCGGTCTGCCCAGCGCCTGGGCGGCCACCTAAGCGGATATCCATGGGTGCCCCCTTGAACCCGCCTAAGCGTCCGCCCAGGGCCCGCGCCCCACCCAGGGACAAAAATGCTACTCCTTTAGGGTATTTTTGGGTCATTTTTTTAATACCAAAGGGGTAAAATTGTGGGTTTTAGGTTTATTTGAAACTTAAAACCCATTAGAATTAGAGAGAGAAAACCAAAAAAAAAATCTACTGGGTCGCCCAGGTTCTAGGTGCTTGCCTAGCGCTTTTTGAAACTATGATTCTAAATATTTTATTTTTGGTATTAGATATGTTTTTGTGATTTTTTGAAAAAATTCTAGAATTTTAAAAAAACTTTTTCTCAAAGTTTCATAACTACGAAGGGCACATGTGGGGACCTAGGATCTAGCCCCCACGGGTGTGTGGCAACCATGAGTGGGACATGTGGGCTTGTGGTGCCCACATGGTGTCCCTAGGGTGGCACACCCCACTTATTTATTTTATATACCACTTTTAGTCAAAAGTTTTAGTTAGTAAGGGAATCGTTTAAGTTTTAACACTAAAAAGATATGGTTTTCTATTCAAGTGAAAGTTTTAAAAGAAAAGATTATCCGTGACTTCTTTTAAATTTTGGAAGATCTAGATTATAATAAGGATGGTTACAATTCAATTTTAAATAGAAGTACTTGAGTCAAATTATAAGGTGATAAGGTTCCCAATTTTCACCCAAAATCATGATGGCTGATTTGTAAGATGGATGACTCATATTTAATCTCTCTCACCCCACAAATTTTCTAATAGCCTAATGGGCAAGCTGGGCAAATAAGATAAAGCATTCCTAGAAGAAATCCAATTCCAAGTGGGAGATAGATATCTTTCTATTTAATCCAATTTGAACTCCCTCAAATCATGACAAAACCTCTATCTCTCTCGCCAAAATATCTTACACCCCAAAATATAAGTTTGTCTCTCTCTCCCCCATATTTTGGCACGCCACCATCTCTCCTTTTGCTTGGGGCGCCACCCTCTCTTCTTCTCTTGCTTGGGACACCACCCTCTCTCCTTCTCTTGCTTGTGAAATCACCCAAAAAGAAAAGGAAATAGGTGGTAGCAAATGAAACCCTAGGACTAGGGTTTTGCTGGTTTTTGAAGGTATAAGAGGTATGTGCAGCCTAGAGTGAAATTCATTCTCAAGTTTAATCCTAATTTGTTCCTACAGCATTTCTACAAACCCTAGCTGAGTTTTTTATCTCTCTGAAGCCCTATATTGAAAAGTATTGCCAGAAAAGCTTCTCCATCTCAAAACTTCCAAGTGACTCCAGACATCATCTAGTAAGTCTTCCCAGTTGAATTAATTATTTTTTAGTCATATTTTATATTTTTCTGTGAATTTTCAAGAACATATTTTGTACTCAGAACTATAGTGGAAGATTAGTTATTGCTCTTGGATGGTTTTTTTTTGCTTTGGCAATAAAAGTAAATATCCTAGGTTGTATTTAGGGTTTTAATTTTGCTTTACAGTAGCGTATAGTGGCCAATGTAAGTGAAATTCAAGTATATATTGAATAAAATAAGAAGAAAATTTTTGAATTTAATACCTTGAATTCAATATAACCACTCCTGTCAATTTAAAATTTCAAAAATAGTACAGAAAGATCTAAGAAAACTATAAAATTTTGAAAATAGAAAGTCTAGATAACTTATTACAAGATGCACTACTTTTAGGGATAAGTTGTTACAAGATGCACTACTTTTAGGGCTTGAAATTCATTTTTTTTCTTCATATCTACACCTTTCAAGATTGAGATGATCAATTGGAGGGTTCTCCAATGTCAGAACACACTCTTCAGGAGGAATTTTGAGGTGTGCCTTACTTCAATAATACAAGGTTGCAACTTGATATAAATTTTTTCCTATGCGCACGCGCACACATATACATACCTATTCATACTACATAAATGTAAATATATATATAGGCCCTGTTTGAATGCATGATTCACCAATATGCACTAGCTTCAAGGGCTGTTTGATGGAACAATAATATCTACAGTTTTCTAAAACAGGAGTCATCCATGATAGGACCATTTTCTAGTAAAGAAGATTTATCACATTCAAGGTATACGGTCTCTTGACCCATTTTTTGCCAGGGGTCCCTACGGATCCCTGGATATCTGCCTGTACATCTCTCTTTTCTCTTCTATATAAAGGTTAACAGTTATCAAAAAGAAAAAGATTTATCACATACAAGTATAAGCCCAACTTGTGTGTCAGTTATGATTGCAGGCAAAAAGGCCTGTATTTGATGATTCATTAGACCAACGAAGATAAATTTACAAAATGAACAGAAGAAAATCTATTTTGTTTGAGGAATGGTATCATCAAGTCAAAGAAGAATTATGGTGAACTAATACAACACTGCAATGCTTAGAGAAATAACTTATCAAAATATGCAGACATTAAGATGGCCAAGAATACCCAAAGCCCTGAGAACTCTTGGCTAATATAAGTTTTTCCAATTGATCTTCCCTAGGGATAGGGATGTACACTTAAAGACTCACATTAGCAAGGACCCATGAAATTTCCATACGAAATCATGAAGGAGAAAAAAAGGAGCCAAAACAGAATGAACACTGGGAAGGTAGCCAGAAAGAAGAACAGAAGAAGAGACGATTGCTCAATGCTGGATGAAGAAAGAACACCACTAGTTAGCTTCTTGCTCTCTAAGGCCATATTTTCAAGCCATCTCAGCTCAAAAGCAAAAGGAATTGAATCCCACCAACGAATTTACAACTTCCAATCCACATAGGTATTGTCTAATCAAGCCCTAGCCAAAGACGAATATCTAGCAATGTTCTTTACCCTCCTTGTAGCCAAGATAAAGAAAATGATCTCTTTGTACACACGGGTTTCTCAATCCAATGATTCACATTCTCCCTCAACAAACATTTCTAAACAAGACCAAAAGAAAATAAAAAGTTTAACAGCTAATGCATCTTTGACGAATCCCTTTAGAAAACAAAACCAGCTGCCATATTTAAAACATTCCCCTATAGCATAGCAAGATATAATAAGGGGAATGAAAATTTGAATTTGAAATGAGATTTATACGAACCATCATATAGTTTCTGCCAAGGAGCACCATCATAGATCAATAATTAAGACCAGCGTTTTAGAATACTGACTCAGGCTGGGACTCGCTAGGGTTCTGAGCCCGAGTCAGGTGAGTCAACTCATCTGAGTCTATTCAGAACAGGCAACAAAAGATCAAACACTGCAGGACTCAGATGACTCTCATGGTACTGCTATGGGAGAGCCAGGGTCCTGAGGCAAGTTCCCTCGGTCGAATCCCAAGCCAACTTGCTGAGTTTTAAAACGCTTGAGTGATACAGATCTACCTTGGCGAGTGCCAATTATTCTGATCCCAAGAGAACAGAAAGTCAATTCGAATAGACATTATATATCTGCAAGTTCCTTTGATGAAAATGGATATCAATGGAATGACAAGATACTCATACATTATAGCTATGAGATGAAATAATGGAATTTAAAGAAGCATAAAATAGTGATCATAGGATTAAATACATCGTTTTGATAAATTCCTATTATACATTCCAACAATATGGACTAACTAAAGCCTTCAGATGCTGTTACATATTTGAAAGAAGGGAAGAAATCAAAAGCTACCTCAAAATGCAATCATCACGACTTAGAAAATACTTCTGAGTACACTCAAAAAAAAAAAAAAAACTTAGCATACAAGTTGGAGTACCTTGGAACATTTTCGACTGCAAAACCAATTTCCTTGTGGACAATGTTTGAGCCTTGGTTCACCATTTTTTGCCAAACAACCAACATGATCTACAGAGAGTTGGACCATGCATTATGCATAAAATATTTAGTAACAAATTGTAAAAGGAAGAAGAAATAGCAAGAAGAACAAATGGAATAAAGAAGAACCTATATGAAAACTCACACTCAAGTTGGCATTGATCACAAAATAAAACTGTCATCTCCGTAAATTGACTGGTATCATCATTATACTCGCTCCCACCACATATGCTACAACGACAAGATGGACAGAACCATTTTCCTTTAGGCACTTCCTACCGAATAACAACATTCAGATCAGATGTTGCGAATACAAATTTTATGTCAACTAGCTATTTAAAAGGAAAAGAAAAACACAAATCAGATTTACTTGGACATGGAGTAAGCAACATAAATAAATAAATATGTAAATAAATGTCATACAAATTTAAGCAATTAGATCACCAAAAGTATTATTTTAACGACAATTTGTTCAATGAACTTCTAGCAGTTTACAGTATGAAATACTCTAAAGGACTAAGAACCTGAAAATAAGGAACTTGTAAGTTGTAACACACCACGTGCTTCCATCTCTATATACCTTCTTATTTGTGACTAAAGTTGAAAATAGAAGTACATTGCAATCGGAAAATCCCAGAACAAAAGAGAAATTAGACTGCAAAATTTCGCCAGCGTAGTAATAATTAAAATCCTAAAGCCTGCAAGTATTTGAGAAAAACACATATAAAATTTCCACAACTTTTAATCCTCCAATTCCACCAATATTTAGGGTTCATGGCATCGGCCACATCACATGTGATAATATTCTCAATTCCAGATATACACTACACTCTTGTGGACATGTTCTCACTCTTGGTGTTTCAGCCAGATCATCGACCTCTCACTCCAATTATCTCCTGATTTACCTTCTTCCTCCAGTCTTTCTAATGGCCTTCTGGCTGCAATGGATTCTACAACCCCGGAATAATTCTCACTCAGATTCCAGCCCTTTGGCTTTTTCGAACACTTAACAAAATTTCGAATCAGCAATCACAAGCCAGACTGAGTCTAACCCACTAGTCTCCACAAGTTACAAATTTACAAACTCTAATAACTATATAGTTACAAACTGAATTCCATTAATGCCCTATAACAATGTCCTAAAACTTTATATGGCCCCCAAAAGTGTCCCACAGCTCCTCCAACAAAGAGCCACGGTAGAAACCACCCTCTGGTCCTTGTGGAATAAGTAGAACCGTAGGATCTTCTGCAGCCACTCTTTCCTCCCCCTCAGTTTTGTTTGATACTGTCAAGTCCTCAGTGATTTTCTGCACCACTAATCACAGCAGATCAAGTGCCTCTCTGCTACAGACTTCCTCACCAATTGGCAGTCCATCCTCACCTGCAAGCCCCAGCGCCCCCCCCTCCCAACATATCCCCTTGGCATCTCCCAGATCATGGCCTGATCAAATTCAACTTCAATGGGTGCTCTGGGTGCTCTCTCAGCAACCCAGGCCGGGCTGGCATCGGGGGACACTTCAGAACACACAAAGGGTCAATCCTCCTTTCCTTTGCCAAACCAATTGGTCAAGCTGATTCCACCTTAGAAGGTCTCAGATGTTTCAACCCTGCTTGGGGTTCCTCCCTGGTGGTGGAGGGTGACTCCTCCAATGTAAACTCCTGGGCTTCAAGCGAGGCCACCCCTCCCTGGTGTCTCGCTTCAGCCTTTGACGAAATTTCCGATATTTGCAGGTTTACACAGGTCTATTGGGTGCATACTTGGCCCGCGGTCAACCACTCAGCAGACACTCTGGCTAAAGAATGCGCAGCTATGGCCATTGAGTAAGATTTTGGCTTGGGTCCTCGCAGCATGCCCTCTTTTGCAGGGTGTGGTGTTTCTTGGTCCACTAAGATTGTATAATTTTTTGCGCACCACCAGCTAGGCAGTTTTTGTATAGCACTCCCAAGTTGCGGGTAGCCATTTTTTGCACATATGTACATCTTACTTCTATACATACAAAGTCAACATATTAAAAAAAAAAAAAAAACCTGTTAGGATAATAAACATTGCACATCAGTTGAATGGAGACTGTTATGAAACTTGGCTAGCTTGCTCTGCATGATCAGTGGTTTCATATAAGAAGCAATTGTAAATAGGGAAGAGAATGTGGTGGCAAATGGTCTAACCAGGGGAGGGATGGATCTTGAAACCCATGTTGTCTCTTCCTAATAATGTGCTTATTTTGATAGGTACCGCATCATCTGTTTTTTCTTTCTTTCTTCTTTCTTTTTTTTGTGTGTGTGTGTGTGTGCGCGCGTGTGTGTATTGGTAAGTCTCATCATCATTTCCTGTTCACTTTTAGCACTTCACTTGTCTCTATAATAATAAAATTTCCACCTTTACCGCTCAGGAACAGAGCCATTGCATTTGTCACTTGAGCAGTATACCATGCTATGAACCACTTGTTTATCCCTAAAACCTATGATATTAACCATTGACTATACATCTCTTGGTAGTTGGTGCAATAGACTATTTTGTTTTCGACAGTAATCATTCATTATAAGAGGCCGATCACAGGAATAGAGGCATAGCATTGTGACTTGTGCAGTATCCCATGCTCAATGTTCAAAAAAGCACAGGCCGGTGCCTAGGAGTTTTGGCTAGACAGCCAGGAGTCCGCCCAGGACCAGGTACCCTCAACAAAACAAATTAAGATATAACTTCACATATAAGAATTGCGATATAACTTCACATAAGAATTAAGATCTAACATAATTATTAATTTATAAAATAAAGTAAAACAAAACTCATAGAATATCAAAACATACATCTTACAAAAAAGGAATCACCTATTCATAAAAGTATTCGATATAGACCCAATTTCATCATCCAAATGAAGAAAAGTTCAATTAATCACAAAAAAAGTTAATCTTTCAACTACAAACATGTAAATATATCATAAAAGAAAAAAAGTAAAAGAAAAAACATGATTCACAACATACTATGTTACAGCAAAAACAAATCAAAACCCTTATTCAAATATGATAATGCTTTAAAAAATCAAAATAAAAAATCGATGTCGCAGCAAACCTCATCTATTGGATCGCAAAAGTCCTCAAAATTGACTACTAGAAGCTCCAAAAACACCCATGAACTATTGCCATTGTTTTGGGGAGAAATAAAAAATTTATCGATCTTTCAATAAATCACATATGCGAGGTTTTTTGGGAGTTTTAATCTCTCTAAGAGCCACAACCTACAAATTAGGTTGTGGGGGTTTAGAATACCCCCCAAAACCCTTTTCCCCCCTTTTAGGGGCAAGGAATTACTACTTTTGACCCTAGCTGAGGGCATTTTTCTGCCCTTAACAACTTGCATTGAGGCAGCTGCCTTGATTGTAGTGCCTAGGCGACGCCTGGCATGCCTAGGCATGCGCCTAGACGCAAGCCACCTAGGTTCCGTTCCCCGCCTATGTTTTGCCTAGCCATTTTAGCAATTTGGCCACCTAGGTGATCACCTAGGCGGCTGGGCGGCTGAATTTTCAAACATTGCCTATACAGCTCTTGGTAGTTGGTGCAATAGATCGTTTTTCATTTTTGATAGTATTCATTCATTGAAGGTATAAAGAACCACAAAAATTGTGTCTCAACACCTTCAAAAGGTGCTACCACATTAGTAGATTTTGAGATCTTACCACATGCATTCTTCTGAAGGAAACATTTTTTTCAAGCACGTGCAAAATGTTTTTCCTTTGCACTAGCCACTACATAATCACATAGTAGCAGTAAAAACACAAATCTTCAAACACAAACTAAACTGCAAATCAAATATCAAAATTAACATAGCAATGTCATTAGCTCCCTAGCATTCCATAACTCCAAAAACTATTTTTCCATCAGAAATATTTTCCAAAGCTACTTAAATATATGGTGATATCAGGCAAATGTATGGACAGCCCATCAATTCCCAATACTATCAACACCAGAATATGTTCTTAAGCTTCACAACTTAGTCATTGTTTGCATATTAATCACATTCCCAGTCAATACCCATGTATAACCTATTGCATTAGTCTTCTACAAAAAATACATATCCCACCAATAAAATTATCATTCTGTGAGAGGAATATATGGGAATTCATATGACCAAGCAAAAAAATATAAACAAAGTGTAGTCAAAGTTATAAAATAATCAAATGACCTATGAAAACCATATTCCATTGTAGCCATCACTTCAAATCATTTCAACACATGACAATTATCACAATGGGCTACAGATTTCCGCACTACATTTGAGACTAGCAGACTTTCCTATAATGTAAAAGGTGTGCTTGGTGGTGCTGTTTTAAGTGCTTGTACCTTCAGATCTACACAATTCAAGTGAAATGATGATGGGCAGTGATCACACAGAATCAAATCTCCCCCATAATGGCAGATAGTGCATATCGTGTCACTATTGCGACGAGAACTGGCCTTCCTCCAAACCTTTGATTGTGAACCCAATCCATTGATGTTCTTGTTGGTTAAAATCTCATTTTGACATTGTAAAAGGGACCTACCATCTCGTAAGAATATGTGGGCCGAGGGTCTAGGTTTTCGGCTCCCCGCATGAGCCCCAAAACCAGAGAGACTATACACCACCTTACAACATTTGCACCTAATCCCTTCTCTACTTATCTGCCCTTCGGCCATAACGCGACCATTCTTTTCATTCAAGTAATAAACCCTCTGCCTTAACCCTATGGATTCATTCTCTATCATCCAAGACAAAACTGATCGTACACTTTGCTTGCCAGAACATAATGATAGACCTTGTGGGGTTCTCTTGGAAGGAAGTACAGACATCCGGCAACCATCATTATGTCCCTTTTTTCTCTTTTTCACTCCCATCCAAGTAGAGGAGCCATCCTTATCATGTTTTTTCTTTCTTCTTCTAACCCCCATTTTAGCCAAATGATCTGGCTCAGCATTTTCAACAACTTGGATAGCCAATGGAACTCGATCACCTTCTTTCCTTTCGTGGCCCCGTCCAGCTCTTACATTTTTGAATAATCCATGAGACCCAACCTTCCCTAAAGGAGTATCAATAGAAGAGATCCCATTTTTTCTCTTTCTGCAACCTCGTTTCGATTTCAATTTGCCCTTTCCCATATGAAAGTTCCCCAGTTGCCCGTCCAAGGGCCCAAAACTCCCCTCACTATCATTGTTATTGCCACTCAGTGTTCCTTCTCCTTCCTTTGAAAAGGCCAAGCAAGCAGTGTAGAAAGAGTAGTATGCTTTTCCATGAGGTGAAATATATCGAAGATCAGCCCTGGTTTTGAATAGCCTTCGTTCAGTCCTCCAACCCATGGCCTGAAGATGCATTCTCGCTTGTTCTCTCGCCAGTATGATATCACACTTGGCCCGTCCCACCTTACTTTCCTTCTCATATTCAATAAAGTAATCCTTTATTGCGTGGGAGCAGTACCTACTCCTGGTGACTACCACTCCCCATTCATACTTACTCTTACGACATCTCCTATAGGTACCACCATTTCTCCTTTTCTGACAAATCCCGCCAAAACTAGTATTTTTCTTATCGATTGCTCTCTTATGGGCTTTTGATCCCAATAAATTCTCACACAAATCCCTATTTTGAATCTCAGGTTGCTCCTCCCAAGCTGCCATCTCAGCCAATGATGCACTAGGTTGTGAACTTAAAATTTCATCACCACAAAGAATTTGAGAAATGGGTTCAGGAAGCACCACAAATGAAGCACTTTTCTCCAAAGTGACAGAGCTAACTAAGCCTGATTCCATCTCTGCACCATTAAAACTAGAATCACAATCTCTATTGTTAAAACCCCAATCAGTATCTCCACCATTATAACCAAACTGAATCTCTCCAGCTTTGGAACCATCAGAACCAAGCTTTTTTCTCTTCTTGGGCCTCCTCCCCTTCCTTTTTGCCAAGTTATCTTGGACTGGATGCTCAAAACCCACAATGGAACAAGCTTGAACCCCAGGCATTATCTCTCTAACCACCTCATCAACAAGCTTAGACCAACACCCTAGGTCCCCAGAAGTCCACTCCGAAATAACTCTCAAAAACTCATGACTAATTCTCAAACTGTACCAAATATTCTTTATTGAGACCAAGACCTCTTGTTGACCGTACCTCTCTAATGATTCAATCAAAAGCCATCGACCACGAGGTCTCCACTCTCCTGTGGACGCATCCCAATCATGGGCTAGTCTCAAATCCTTGATATCAAACAATAATTCATCCCCTTCATCTGGAAAAAACACAGATGTTTTACCTGGCCCATCTAATCGATCAAAAACTACACCTTCCCACCATGCATCTTGATACATGGCATCAACACAGATGCCAAAACTGAGCTTTTCAGGAGGTGGAGTGGAAGAATAAGGTGACAAAGGCCTAATTCGACCCCTGTAATGGATCAGAGCTCCAGTCTTGAAGGTTAGAGATCGGGGACTTGGTTTCAATGGGATGGATTCTACAAGCTTTGTTGAGCCATCTTTGCTAAGGAGTTCGTTGTATCGAACAAATCGCTTCGACCCAAGAACAGAGAGAATTGCCCCAGGATACCAGGAACCTCGAAGCCCTTCCTCCAATTGCCTCACCTGAAATAAACCCACAACCTTGATGTTTCAACACCATTGCCACTTTAGGGTAAGAAATACGGCAAAGTGTGAAGTGAGAAGAGATTCAATATAAGCAGCACACAATGGTTCTTGAAGGGAAATTGAAAGACCACATTTCATTTGCATTTCAACATCCGCGAGTCGAGAGAGAGATTCCAAAGTGCAAAAATACATTTACAGGGTGCCGTAAGGGTAAAACCCAGAAACAATCGCACAAAATGTTCTTTAAAGACAAATAGAGTAAGACCCCAATTTCCTCCACGCTTAAACCACTCTTGTGTTTCCAGAGAGAAAACCCCAAATGAACGCAATACATGTATAAAGACCAGCAAGGAGAGAAAAGTGGAAAACGTCCAAATGTTTTGTGGGAGAAAAGCACAGGAGGTCTTAAAATTCATGTTATTCTCAGAAAGCCAATGAAATTCGAAAAACGGCTGGGTTAAACATCTAAGAAAACCCAATAATAAGCCTTCTATTATAGAAAAGATTAAAATAGAAGCCGAGAGACTGGACATTGGGTTGCTGTAACCCATGCAAAATTTGAAGAAAATGATGAGTAAGAAAGTTGTGTACATACCTCGACCCCCTCCCCTTCAAGAAGCTTGCCTTTGCTCTGCATACTGTGTGAGAGAGTAAGAACAAGCAAAGACAGAGAGAGAGATGGGAAATTTAGGGCAAGAAGAATACTTTCTAGCTCCCGTATACTGTGTGTGAAAGTAAGAACAGGCAAAGAGAGAGAGAGATGAGAAAATTAGGGCATAAAGAATACTTTCTAGGCCCCATAACAGAGCAAGAGGAATATATTGCTTAAAGAATAATTTCTTGCTTCAGTTACAGTCTAGAGAGAGAGAGAGAGAGTTATATAGAGAAAGAGTAGTGTGGGGGGGAGAAGAAAAACTTCCTGCTTCCGATACAGAGAGAGAGAGAATGTAGAGCTGTCAAGTGAGAGGAATTATAGGGGAAAAAGAAGGAAAAAAAGGAAAAATTCCCTGCTACCGTTAGAGAAAGAAGGAAAGCTTGGGCGGGAAGTAAGAGCAGTAGCACCCACAGATTTAGGGTTTTTTGAGGGAGAAAACCCCAAAATTTAGAATCTTAGAGAGAGAAAGGCGCACCAAATGAAGGCAGAGAGATATTCAAACATCTGGTGAGAGAGATTCAAACTTGACAGAGAGAGAGAGAGAGAGTGTTTCAAAACTGTCAATGAAAAAAATAAAAAAAAATTAAAAAAAATCAGACTTGATGAGGGCAACGGTTTGAGCAGAGGGAACATCCTCCTCGGCTGCGGCATGAGAATATACTGATTTGTACGGGTATATTTGTCATTTTCAAAAGACATTTCCGATAATTATTATGGAACACTAGGCTTTTGGGGTCTTTTAAAAGGGGAAAGTTTCTATAGAACCGAGGTTCTAAACAATCACATCCAAGCCCGCCTCAAAATTTTCACTAGATGAGATTGTTTTCGATTAAAATATCCTTAAACTAATCATCTCAACATCACTAGATGAGATTGTTTTCGATTAAAATATCTTTAAACTAATCATCTCAACATCGAGATGCATGAACATGAGAAAAAGATTTCAAGTTTAGAAATAATGTATTTTGTAATACATTTTTTTACTATTTATTTTTAAGATTTTTCAAATTTTTATAGATATGTCAACCTATATCATTTTTTAAGTTTTAAACTTTATAAATTAAGATGAAAATATATTTTTAAGATTGAAACCACATTTATCGATACTATTTGAAGGTAGGCTCTACTTTGATTGCTTAGATCCTAGGCTCTATACAAACTGCGCCTTTTTTTAAATTGCCCCTAGAGTCTCGGAACAAAATTTATAAGTTTACGCGTCCCCATAAACATGCTCAATTTTTTCGTGAAATTTCAAAATTGCCCCTGACTTCAATAACGAACGCCCCTCAAAATTACGAGTGCCTCGACAATGGAGTCTGTTAGGCCTCTCTCACCTGAGATGTGCTGTGGATTTATGAGCATCCACAGTTTCAAACTTTTTTGAAAGAGGTTACAATTACGGCTTTTATTCTAGCTAGGTCCGACTCGGTTTTATGTTCGGGTCCAACTACCTGTGGGTCAGATCTAGGTCCAGTACTTAATAGTCTGGCCAAGTCCACAGTTGAGCTAACATGTCCTAACCCATTATTTTCCATAAAAACCTAAATATTGTATGAATATAATTTCATCATCATCAAAACTTTTTTCCAATTAAATGGGATCGGCTATAAGAATCTTGATCATCATTCTACTCTATTAAGAGTTATATCCATAAGTCTTCGTATATTTTCTCATTACTTCTAATCATGTTTTTTTTGTTTCTTTCCACTTGAACTAAGTCGCACTTAGAGATGTATAATCAATTTGCACCACATTTGACCAGAAATACACAATTTATTTAAAAAATATTATGTTTTTTTGACATAGGTCCAGATCTAAATAGGTCAAATCCGGCTCGAGGCCTACCTGGACCCTACCCAACTCTCTTAACCCCTCTTGTACAAAACTACAATTGATCTCTATCATGCTGATAGAGTTTTCTTGGCAACGCATGTGGAAAAGGAAATAAGTTATTTCTTTTACTAACTGTTGCCCCCTTGAATATTACATAAAGTTAGGACGTCCCTTTCCCAAAGTATGAGAAATAAGCTTTATTTTGGCTAGGCCGAGTTGGAGTCCAACCTGGCCCGATTCATATCCGGGTCTGCTGAGTCTTTCTCATGCCGTAATGCTATCATTCGAGTCGGATTCAGCGCAACTATGAACACATTTTTGGGCTGGGCCATATACCCAAAATACTTTTAGTCAGTATGACTTCCGACCCGGCACATTGGCAACCTTACATACCCAAACCCTTCTCTGTTGAATGTGTACTAAAACCTTGGTCCCCATTTGGGAAGGAGAAAGAAGATTCAAAATTTGTTACCTTTTCAATGTTTAGAACCCATCAAAAAATTGTAACCTTTTCAACCCTTCTCTGTTGAATGTGTACTAAAACCTTAGTCCCCAAATAGACCTAGAGTGAGCAATGAGGGGAAGCACAAAGAGATTGAGTGGGGGTGACTGACAACAGGCAAGCCTATTGCAGTTCTTTTTTCTCTTCCTCTTCCCTTATGTTTTTTTATTGCTTTTTCTTTTAACACCTCTTGTACTTGGGAGTTTTTGCCTCTTTTTTTTAAGGAAAAATTACATACATATTTATTATACTTTACGTTATTATGGATACATCAAATAGTTTCTGTTATTACATGTATGCCCGTTTTTTATCTTTTATAACGTAATTTTTAAAAAAAAGAAAAAAATTTACCTTTTTTGGGATGTTGAACATCCGAAAATAGGCCAAAAATTTAACGTTCACATTCCCATTTTCAGGCGGTGAACATCCGAATTGAAGGGTTTCTCGGATGTTCAACATCTAAAAATAGCCCGAAAGTTAAACAGTCACATTTTCGGTTGTTGAACAGTCACATTTCGCAATCACATTTTCGGATGTTCAACATCTGAAAATGTCAATATATTTTTGGATGTTCAACATCCAAAATGGTTTCGGATATTGGACATCCAAAAATGTCATATTTTCGGATGTTCATCATTCGAAAATGATTACGAAATTCCAAAGACCTTCTGGAACTTCAAAGTCATATTTTTGGATGTTGAACATCCGAAAACGTGAACATAAACGTTAAACTTTTGACCTATTTTCGGATGTTCAACATCTGAAAAAAGGTAAAGTTGTCTTTTTTAAAAAATTACGTTACAAAAAGTAAAAAACGGACATACATGTACTATTTGGTACATCCATAATAACATAAAGTATAACGGATATGTATATAATTTTTCCTTTTTTTAATGATAGTAACTGTTAACAAAATAAATAAATAGTCAAGCTTATGCCTTTCTCACAAATCCTACTCTTATTGACATATCAATCTCTTAAGGGTCATTTGGATACCTAAAAATATATTGTCTGTAAAATATATTATTGCCATAATACATTACTATGTAATACATTAGATGTAAATGGATGGTTACTGTTTGGGTAGTATTTAGATGCAATATAAGAAATACATTACTCTTACTTGACACGGTTTAATATAGAATTGTCTACACTACACCTTAAATTTACTCTTATATTGCTCTTACTAGACATAACAATTTAATATGAAATTGTCTACAAAGAGACCATTTATCTTTTATACTCACAATCATTCTTGTCTTTTAAATTTCAAAATGGGTGGTTGTAGTGTCATTGAATAAATACAAAAATTTCAAAAACGAAATTCACTTCATGACTCACCTCAAGCCATCCAATTTGACATCTAATATTTGAGAATGATTGTGACCTCCATTCATAAAAGATAAATGGACTCTTTGTAGACATTCCTATTTAATATTGAAATGCATATGTATCTCTTTGTAGATAACATGACTATACGATGTTTGTCATGCCTCAAAGAATACTAACTTTATAGTGTGAATTAATATTGATCAAAAAAATTGAGTAAACTATTTTGGTTACAACATTTAAATATCATTAATCTGTAGTTTAAATAGTAAATGATGATATATTTAAAAAAAATTATTGTGAAATGGTAAAGTATTTTAAATTTTAGATTGATATTTATGTGTATCTAAACCCTAATCCCAAAAAATCATTTTTTTTCTAAAGAATAATCATTATAATTTAAATAAAATATAATTTATCATTTTTTTCGATCTAAACCCTATTCTCAAAAAAAAAAAAAAAATTAAAAAGATTTAATAATCATTATAATTTACCCATACGGCTTGCTTGTAGAGAGAGCACATATACGGGAGTTTCGAAGAAGAACTCAGACAAGGGAGATTCGAAGAAGAACTCTCGCAAACATATAACTTTTGGTTGTTGAGATCAGAAGAAACTTGGAACATTTGGTTTCCATGAATAGCTTTGAATATGATGTACGACACGAAAGAGGGAAAATGGTTTTTTAAAGTCAAAATGGTTTTTAAAGTCGCTCAATAGATTACCCGTAAACACGTAAAAGATTTTCCAGGGCTCCTGTATAATAGATTTCACGATATTTGAGGAAATATTGTAAATCCTAAATTCATTTTTTTACTAATAAATGCACCCATACGGTGTAAATGTCATATTTCCTACTAATCTATTTTCTATAATATATTTTTAGATACCCAAACCGCCTCTTAGTGTTCAGTTTTTCAAAATCCTCCTCCCCTCATCGACTATTCGATACGCTACTGAGTACGTACGTTACCGGACGTAGTGAGCTCCTTGACAACAACAAATTCAAAACCTCAAAACTAATTTACTACTTATTGGAAATCTGATTTAAGATACGCATATGCCTAAGAAAATCATCCAAGAATTTATGAGAAACCAAAGAAAACCCCAAAACCGGAAACATAATTAAAGTAGGCAATATATGAATCAAGATATATTGTTAAGTTTCAAACATGCATCATTGAGCTTCTAGATCAAATACCAACCTCCCACCCAAGATTGTCTATGTAGCTAGCTAGATATGAAATAAATAATTATAAATTATAAATAAGGCGAAAAAAAAAAACAAAAGCAAGAGCATATCATATTCACAAGATTTAGATCATTTAGGATGCATCTCTGAGCAACTAGTAAATAGAAACTGTTGATTCAATGAATAAATATATATTTTGAGTTATAAGATACCTGTTGAGCAAAGTTTGCCAATCATCTCTTCTAAATCCTTTTTCTTCACAGATAACATCTATCAAGCTGGCTTCCCTCTTTCCCATGCTAAAGCGCGCTGCTGTAAATAGCATCGGGATACATTCTTTCTTTAGGGTACATTTGGTAAGCGTGAAAATACTTATATGAAAGTAGTTTCATATGAAAAAAAAACTCCCCATGTGATTAGATGTAAGTTTTTTTACACCAATAGGCTACCAATTGAAATGAAAAAATTTGATGCAACTCATTAATTGAGGTAAAAAAAAGTCCCACACCTAATCACATGGGGGAGCTCTGTATGTGCGTGAGACTCTTGGAGTTTGATTTGTACTGTGAACCAAACATGAAACACTGTTGCAGTAGCATAAGTTACCATTTAAACATTGGCTCTCTTGAGATGAGCAAAAAATGAACCATTCATGATATGTTGTGGAAAAATAAGTGAACGAAAACTAAGAAAGGGTTGGAACTCCAAAACTATGACTATTTTTCTTTATTTTCTAAGTATTACTCAATACCATATTATTAAACAATTTCCAAAACGAAAATGGTATATGTGTTGATCTATTTGACATATATTAAGTTATAGGAAAGGATAGGACGTGCTGGTCCATTTAAACAAGACCCTACAGTGGGAGAGTAACTTAAAGTAGTGTTAGGGTATGAATTTCAAAGGAGTTTAGGACAATGATGGATCCCCTAAGCATCTTGGCCTACCTCTCTTTACTTGAGTATCTCTAAATCCTTGACAGTTGACACTATCATGTCAGATCAGTTGCCCTTAAATCACTCACTCAAAAAGAGGAACTTCCACCAAAAATTACCACTGATAATTCACAAACTCTAGTTGAGAAAAGGAAGGAGAGGATAGGGGCAGTCTTGTTTCAAATGGCAGGGGAGTTTCAAATTAACCACTTGTTCGCAAATCCAGATGATTCAAATCTCTACTTGATCTTGTGAGCAATCTACAACAATAAATTCTAACACCCAAACAAACTACCCAAGAATAATAATATGTATAATATATTTAAGAAAAATATAAAAACAAAGAAAACCAAGTAAAATGAAAAATCACCAAATCACAACGTACGTATAAATAGAATGAGGTTTACCCAAATGGGTTATATCTATGGGCAAGGGACAAAATCAAAAGAAAAAATTTATAAATTTGGAGTTTTGTAGAAATTATTTCATACATTGGCAACAAAAAAGAAAAAACAAAAAAAAACTCAAATAAATATTTCCTATCACAATACCATCATCAAGCTACTCATCTCTTCCTCATAGTCGACCAAGACCACCGCCGTGAAAAAGTGCCGATAAAACACCGGCTCAACGCGAGGTCACAATAACACCAGAGTTTGTGTAGAAACCCCTATTTGTATCCCTCAAGCTTCTATGCAGCTTTTCTTGTATTTTCTCTCTCTACCCATGCACTTTTATGGGCCTCCATTAAATGATTTTTTGTGTGATGAAAATACCCTTCTAGAAAAAAGAAAATTTCAAATGGGGTGATTTGCATCACCATCCCAACAATTTATACCACACGACAAAATCATAATGTTTCTTGGCAATGGAGTGAGCCAGCCTTGGCCTAGTCCCATAGAACCGGGCCCGATCAAATAAAATCGTCAAAAATAAAAAGGAGAAAAAAAAAAAGCAAATAAAAAGAGGGTCGGCCCAATCATGGCCCACGGCAGGCCTGGTCCTACTTTCAGGTCGTGGTTACCCGGCCCTTTGGGAACATTTTGTGTCCTAGGCTCTAGTTTTACACGGTCGGGATGACTTAGCCGGATCACCCGGCCCATTGCCACCCTTAATCTGATGTTCTTAATTGATCATTTAAAGAAACAGTGCCGAGCTCCTGACAACTGAAACAACTATCTTTACATACGATGGATGCTCATGGTGAAATAAAGCGTGAAAATGAACATGATTCATGTCATCATGAAAACATGGAAAGATGAGAGACAGAGAGAAAAAGAAGTATAACTAAAAATGAGAGAGAGAGATGTATAAGTCAAAATGAACTCATACATGATTTATGGCAAAGAAGGCCTAAAAGGGCCTTGGGGGCTTCTCTAGCACAGCAGAGAAGAACACCTCATCCCCTTCTTTATCAACCTTTGGCACCACAAGCCACCTGTGTTTCTTATACCTAAATTGCTCAAACATATGCAAGTAGTCATTCAAATCCCCCCTAGAACAAAAGAAGCTATCAATCCACAACAATCCCCCTGGCCTGAGCACCCTGTCCCAATCAAACAACACAAAATCCAACAATTGGAAATCGATCCAACCGTCCAAAAACCTCGTCGTGTGGATAATATCAAGCGTGTTATCGAAGAACGGTAGCCGTTGATTCAAGCTTAGGTACAGAGGAACAAGTCCTCTTAATGCTATCATTTCATTGAATGGTGCACCAAGGTTTAATGTAGCGGAGACTATGGTGACATTGAATTCTCTCATTCTAGCTGCAAAAGTTCCGGTGCCAGCACTGTAATCTAAGCCAATTCTTATCTCTCCAGGCTTGATGTTTAGAACATCTGAGATTAAGAAGTCGGGGCTCGGATTTTCAGTTGAGTTCTCTATCTTGATCCATCTAGGCTTCTCATGACCTGGAAGAGAAGAAGCACGGTCATAATTTGCAACAAGGTTTTTAAAAAATGGATTGGTGATCTAGATTGCCTCTGTGGACTTCTTACTTGATTTGGCAGATCAATGATCTAGATCAGTGATCAGGAAAAATTAAAAAAATTAAGTGGGGCCAATTCTGTCAAAAAACTATCCAAAGTTTGCCAGAATAGGCAAAAACTGGTCGGTTCAACAATTAAAAATTTAAAAATCCATAAACAATCGGTTCGTAGGGGAAACCAACTGATTCCTGATATCTTACAGGATCCAGATCGGTCCGACCAATTCCTGTTCTAGATTGGTTGGTTCCAATCTGAATCACTTGTTTTTTAAAATATGGGCCGACTAATTCGGGATCGGTCACTAGTCGATCCCGATCTGGCCCGATTCCAACGGTCATATATATAGCAAATTTTTTTCAATGCACTTATCGGCCGACTAATCAAACTAGATGGCACTAATCGACGATTGATCTAAAAATCGGCCGATAAGTGCAATGTCATTGTGCATAGTCTGTAAATTTGTCCTTATAACATTGTCTATATATTTCTCTTTTTTTTCTTTTCCTTATTTTTCTATGGACACGGTTTCTGTATGGGCAGCCCACATATTGTAGAAGTGCGGGCTTGGCAATAAATATATATTTTAAATATAATTTGATCCTAATTTTTAGAGAATATATAATCTTTAACATGGGGATCATGAATATAAAATAATAATAATAATTTGAAAACAAGAAATAATAATTATATTAAAAATATTTAGACCCTTAGTTACACTTGTTTTTCGATGGACTATCTATTTGCATCCATCTTTAAGATGGATGCATTATACTTCTGGACCACATATTGTAGAAATACGGTCCAGCCCCGCATGAAACAATTTTCCTTCTTCTATTTCTCTACTTAAAATTTAATGTATTATTACAAATGTTTATTTGCTAACTGTGGGGTTTGCCGACTTGGGTGAGTAGACTTAGATGCACCAGAAAGGGTGCCAAGCCCGTAGGTCCCTCAACTCGTGGGATATAAAATATATTTGTTGTTTATTTGATTTGATATTCAATCTAATACCACATAGACATAAAGAGATGGAAATTTATCAAAATTGTCACAAAGAGACGAATAATTTTATATTCTACCTATATTTTTAATTGAATTCTAAAATACCCAAAAACCTCTTGAGTTAAAATATCATAATATTTTATAATATTATATCATATGATATTATATATTTATTTATATTATTTAATTAATGTAATTTATATTATATATCATTGATTACATATTATATATAATATATAATATTAATATATTTATTATTTATTGACCACTGAAAAAATATTGCTTCAAGTACCTAATCATTTTCTCCGAAACCCAATTATGCTTATGCTATTTATTTTTTTACGTGCCAATATAAAAAATAATGCATGTAAATTTCAAACATTTTTTACAATTTTTTTTAGCATTTTTACCAAAATTACATTTTCTAGAAAAAATCGAGACATTAATCGACCAATCCAGTCAGAATCGGTCGAACCAATCCAATCACAATCGGTTGAACTAATTGGATCGGGCTGGGACTGACTAGTGGGACTGATCCATTGTTTTGAACAATGCTTAGAACAAAACACCAAGACGCAATATGCTCCCAGCGTCTTCAAGGTGTTAAACGCCTCGATTCTCAGTATGCGAATCAGATGGACGCAAATACCTCTAGGAAACAACTAAGTACAATGAATCATTGCGAAATCTTTTGAGTTGCATGTTCAGTAGAATTATCTAAAAACACAGTGACTGAATTTATTTGCTTTTTACATTTTAATCTATAGAAAATCAGCTCGGCCAAGGTACTTGGCCTTTAAGTACTTTGGCCAAGCTGAATAACCCACCCGAGATAGATACACCCCAAAAAAAGTGAAAAATATAAAATAAAAAGGGCGAAAATAATTCCAAAAAAATATTTCAAAAGTTTAAATAATTAAGTAAATCGTTAGAAGATAAAAAAAGTGAATTTATACATCGAATATCTCTTTTTTTTAAAAAAAAAAGAGATATGAAAGTTTCCAAATGAAATTAAAAACTAACAAAATCATCTAAAGAAGTATTTCTACCATTATGCTAATGTTCTTTTATTTTTTATAGTTTATATTTTTCTTTTAGCATTTATTTAGGCCTGGGTTGTTGAATACTTAACACACTAGGAACTTAACTTGCCCAATGGTTGAGGCTGAGTTATTCTGCTGAGTCCTGGCACACTGCTATATTCACTTGGTTCAAGGTTGGTTTTTATTCAAAATCACAAGGGAACAAAATTTGAAGGATAAATTCCCAACTAAATGTGGACTTCTTACTTGGTCACAATAAGAAATTGCAGGTTAACATATAACCATTGCGAGAAATTGCAGGTTATTAGCGTGGTTGGTGAGAATTCGTTATAATAAGGGTTTAAACTGAATTCAAACACAAATTGGGGTATTTATAGAGAATTATACCAAGGGTGCAGTTTGCATACAGACGCCTCTGTACGTTTAAAGGTAAGGTGCCCTTCAAAATTTAATCATGGTATATATTTTTGATGTTAAATGTTCTTAGGATTATCTCAAAATCTATTTTTATATCTAATTATAAAATTTGAAATTTTAAAAATGGTTGAAATCAAGTAGAGCTGTAAACTTATGAAAATCTTGAAAATGGACGGTGTAGATAATATATTCTAAAATGCACTATTTCTTAGACTTAAAATCTTTCCATTTTTCATAGTCATTGCCAATCCTAAGCCAGATGAAAACAGGAGAAGGGTTGTGTATGGTTGCGAGCAGAAAATTTTGGCCACAACCTTGTCATGAATCCTGATCCGACATTAACACAATGATGGAGCAGGATTCGAGTTACTCGACTGAGTCCTGGCACACTGCTATATTGGTTACGGTTTGGTTTTGATTCGAAATCAAAAGGGAACAAACTTTGAAGGAGAATTTCGCAACTAAAATGAGAGATTACACGTTATCAGATAACCATATAGAGAAATTGCATGTTATTAGCTTACTTGTTGATAATTCGTTATAAAAAGGGTTATTCAACATAAACTGGGGTATTTATAGAGGATTCTAACAAGGACCGGTTTCTATGCGGTCAAGCCCGCATATGTAGAAATTCGGGCCAATTAATTTATTTTTGAGATGGATTTTTAGATTTAATTTATTTAAAATACGGGCCTATTAATTTATTTTTGTGATGGATTTTTTGACTTAATTTTTAAGGATATATAATCTCTAACATAGAAATCATGAATATGACAAAAAAAATAAGTAAATTTTAAAAATTAAAAATAACAATACTAGTATGAAAACATTTGGACCATTAGTTTCCATTGTTTTAAGATGGAACACCTACTTGCGTCTACTCTTTTTGGACAGCATATGTAGTTATGCGGTCCAACCTGCAAGAAACAATTTTCCTTATAAAGGAAGAGGGTTTTGTTAGGACGACAACGGGCTAGGTCGGGGCCGGGCGGACCTAGACCTAACCCAAAAATCACAATATCTATGTATTTAACTATATTTCAATATATTTCGAATATTGGGACCCAGAAAATATTACTGAACCTAGACCTGAGTAGTATTCTGGACCTGACCCATCGGGTCCAATTTTTGGACCCATATCCGGACCCGGATTGGGTCTAACCATCGGGTCAGGTCCTGGTCCATTGCCATCCCTAGGTTGTGTAAGGTTTGCAGCAAACAGAAAGCTTTTGCCACATCCCTATACATGATTCTAAAACCTAGGTTTGATTTCTATTTATATAGAAATTCAGAGAGATGAATTACCTGGTAGATCAAAGCAAGAAGCACACTTGAAGAACCCCTTCCTGGTCTCATTCCTGGCCAAACAGGTAAAATTCTTGCAAATGTACCCATTCCACCTCACATTCCTATCATCAGGCACCCTCCACATTGACTCATTGATTGCAAATGGCTCTGTGTACCACCTTGGTGCCCTAGCCAAGCACCTCCTCCTGGGCAACGGGTCGCACCCACCCACCATCAAACGCTGACCCACCCTCCAATCATCTTCACATAACTCACCAACATCATAATCCATGTACTCCTCCATCTCTCTCTTCATGCTCCAGCACCAGTGGCCCATGCTCAAAAATGTCGAATTAGCCCCCATGAAATTTTTCCGGTTGCTTCGGTTTGGCCGGCCGGACGAATACTTGCGGAGCTCTTCAATGAGGAAGAAATCGGGGGTGGAAATGCCGGAGTCTTTGGGGTTGGCGCTGTCGGAGATCTCGGTTGCGCCCTTGAGGTGGGCCTCGAGTTGGTGGGAGAGATATTGCAGGAGGTGGATGTGGGAGAGGGTCTGGGGGGAGGGGGACGGGAGAGAGAGGAGGGAGGAGAGGGTGGTGGAGATGGAGGCGGAGACGGGGGAGAGGGGGTGACTTTGGTGGGGAGGAGAGGAGGATTGACGAGAGAGAGTGGGGATGGTAGAGAGAGAGGGGATGAGGGCGAGGAGGGCGAGGGAGAGGAGGAGGCATGGGATGCATCTCCTTGTTCTTGACCGGGTGAGGAGAGAGAGAGTTTGCTGGTTTTGTTGCATCCCCTATCTCTCTCTACTGTGATGGGTTGTGTCTCGCACTCTATGATCCTTCTCTCTCACACTGTCAATGAAGATTGAGCACACAGGCACAAGCCTTTTGCAGAGAGTGATCCTTCCCTCTCACACTGTCAATGAATATTCAGCACACAGGCACAAGCTTCTCTCTCACACTGTCAATGAAGATTCAGCACACAGGCACAAGCCTTTTGCAGGAATGACGAAATGTTTTAGTTTTGATTAACTAGAAACCCAATCACAACTCCACCTTATAATTTTATAGATTTTTAACTATCTTTATTTTTTATTGTTAAATTAAACTCTATTAATTTCTCTAAATATTAGAAATAGGCTCCCAACTTTTTCCTTTACTATTAAAATCTTCTCTCTATCTTATGTTAAATAAGCAGGCCTACCAATTATATTTTGAGTTAATAATGAATGGGGCAATATTATAAAATGTGTAGTAGTCATATATAAAAGGAAAAGTCTATAGAGAGGTTATTTATTCTTTATTTATTATTGGTACTAGGAGCTTATAAACACTTTTGTTCGTCAGGTGATTGTAAGAGTGTAATTTAGTAGACTCGAAGCTCCAATAATTATTTCTCAATCTTCGTGATACACCTCAAGCCATCTAATTTGACATCTAATTGTTAGGTTTAATTGTGATCTATTTGTAATAAAGATAAGAGAAAGGTTTCTATACTTTCCCTACAACATAGAAGATATATGCTTCCTTTACCATCCAGCCGTTCAATTTTGATCAAGAGAGCCACTCACCGTTTGATCTTAAATCCGACATCTCAAAGTATTTTATTTTTAGTTTTTTTACATAAATTGTATGAATATGAATTTGGTACATGTCATCTTCTCATTAGGGCACACCTATAAAAAAATATTAAAAATAAATTTTCGATAAAATATAATAACCAAAATACCCCTTGAATCATTTAAGGGTATTTTGATCATTTTATTTTATTAAAAATATTTGTTTATATTTTTCACTAGTGCAAGTTTAATAAAGGATTGGACGCTCAAAATTTGGTGTCAAAATAGTTTATAGAAAAAAACTTTAAAATAAAATAGTGGAGAGACGTGACATTGTGATTGGGACAATATTAGCCCATTCAAAATGGAAGGCTGGATAAGGAGAAGTATATAAGTTTTATGCCGTAGGGGAAGCATAGAAAGCTTGTTGTGAAGATAAATGGCCCTCCAATACATAATGCTAGTATAAAAAATCAAAAGATTTCATACTCCTGCAAGAGCATATTATCTATTTACTCCCGTAGGTATGACACATGCTAAGAATATTTTTTAGTTCTCAAATTTTGGGGATGCAATCTCTACAACCCATAAACTAAACTCATTTAAAAAAATTTCCCAAATGAATTCTCTATATACTAAAAATAATAATGCTTCAAGATTGAATAGAGACTATCCAATTGTTTTTAAAAACTAGATCCAAGTGACAAACTCAACATTCTAACTTTTTTTCTTTTAAAAATATCATATAATAGATCTTATGTGGTTCCTAAAATTGTAGACTAAAATAAATTTTCTAAATAATAAGTGCTTTGTACTACGGAGCAGACGCATAGCATACTCTGCAGGAGCATAATATACATGAGAGTTGAGAATTTTTTTGGGATTTCCCTTATAATTGTGCCATTTTTTAATTGAAAATGGTCAATGCATTTACATCACATAGTTTTTTACTTGATTTCGCAAGCTGCGGGTCCGGTCTCATGCATTTCAAACTCCGATGAGCATAGCTTAATACTTTGATCAAACGCATTCTAAAACGCCCGTTTGAGTTGTGGAAATACCACGATTGCCCTCCGATGCATGTTATGAGTGGATGTTGTATGTATGTATGAATACATGCGCAAATATTTTTATGTCTTTTATTAACTTATTAACTAACTCTAAATAGCTAAGATAAGGCGCGAATGATGATGATGATTAGCCTATTAATTAGGAAGAGTTGTAAATAGGTGCAATGGATTATGAAGACCATCCGGTAAAAAACTAAAAATATGCATCTCAAAAATCTAATGTTATAAACACTCAGAAGGATGAAGATTTTAGGAGTGGAATAGAACATGAATGGCTCAGATTAATCTATCTTAACTGGTGGATCCGATTAAGAGATCTGGATGGCTAGATTAACAATATAGTGGGAGTATTTTGGTTTTATTTAGTATTCTTTGTGTATTTTTTAGTGTGCTTAAATAAGGCACATTATACCTCCAATGTTTTATCTAATAGATGTATGAAAAATAAATTAAAACAAAAGAGTTTATGGACGGTGTCAACTTTATATTACTAAGGTGAAGCTTAAAAGCCGACATAAAAAGGTTGTTTCGACCCTGAAAAACCCTCAAGTTGATTATATCGACCTCCATATGTATGGATATGAAAGAAAAAATGGATTTTGAGTTCCAAAAATGGTGCATCTTGTTGCATATTATCAAGATAGTATATTTTCAAATTTAGAGTACTTATAGATCCTGTTTGATTTACACCATTTTTTAAACTTAAAATTTTATATTTAGGGGTGGATATAGATGTTTAGCTCATCATAAAGTTTTTGGTACCGGATCTACATATTTTGGCAAACTTTAAAGATACATGTTACTTTGATTGATTAAGGTGAAAACCTTATACAAACCTTAGATTAGCCATCATATTTACCTCGATTGAATCTGATCCGTCCAAGCGATAGGAATAGGCCCAGCTGCTTCATTTAAAAATTGATGCTTAATTGCCCTACTCGGAAGTTGGTTTTCCCCATCCCAAACATTAAAAAAAGGGGGATTGTTAATTTATTATTAATTAATTTAATACTTAGTAGAGGTTTTAGGATACATGACTGATGTTTTGTGGAGTCCAAGAGCTTGTGCACGCGGATTGTTAGACTTCCATCTCTTGGTGCTGAAGATTAAACTACAGGTGACAGAGAAGTGAAATGGAAGTCAAAGAAACTGGGTTAGTCTCTAACGAGCCCATAGAACTGGCCAGGGCCTGGGCCTGGTCCAGCCTAGACTGGATTGAGGAGGCCGTGGCCCTGGCCCTATGCAAGCTAGACCGGGCAAGTAAACCCACATAAAAACAAAAGAAAAAAAAAAAAACTAAACAATAAAAGGCTAGGTTGGGTTGGGACTTGGGACAAATAGGGTTGGCCCATGCCCAATCTTGCCCCGGCCCTACCCTCAAGTTGTGGTAGCCCTACCCTGAGCCCATATTTTGTGGCCCCGGCCCTACTTTTTCAGGGCTGGGTCGATTGGGCTGGGCTAGGCTACCCGGCCCATTGCCACCCCTCTTTAGGGTAATATTTTATGATTCCAACATTCAAACGAAAATTTAAAAGTTACATCTAGTCTGAAATACCGGGTTTTTCTTTCTAAGTTAGTCGAAACCTGAGTTTTCGGCATATGATATTTGGAGTAGCCCAGTTTTGTAAAACTTAGGTTTTTCCCTGACATTTTTAACGAATACTTTACTTTTTGCTTTTTTTAAATACATCCTCTTTATGTCTATCTTTCTAATTAATTTTTTAAATTGTGAGGCTAATTGCTTTTTTCATATTTTTTGCAGTTTTATTTTTTTATGATCTAAATTATTTCTTTGAAGATGGATAGTTTGCATGGCTTACTATTTTAAAGTGAACGAATTGGACATATACAAAAAATTTATCAAGTTTGAATCCTCTTTATGTAAAATATAAACTTTTACATACAATAAAAAAATTAAATTGACCCGAGTGAGGCCCATTGGTCACCAGCAAGCTCAAGCCAGCGCAAATCAAAAACTTTGCAACCACGGTAAAAACTTGTCCACCATGATGAAAATGTTTTATGTGGCGAAAAACTATGATCTTCGGGTGACTTCCTTAAAGTTGTAAGGAGTTCAATGGATTTTGATTAAACTCAATATTGAGTAATAGGGGACTAAAATTTGTGGATCCGGATGCATAAGAGAATTCGCTTTCTTCAAAATGTTAAACTATGTTTATTTGGCGGAATTTCGAGGTGCAATTGGACCCATCTAGTATACCCCCGGCCCCAAAATACAACCAAATCACTTTTATTTAGTATTGGACTACTTGGCTACTCGGGTTCTCCAAGTGGGTTGGTGTTCCACTTGGGTATATTAAAAAACAATTGAAAAATATAAAAATTCTCAAAAAATGAGGAATTAATTTATGATTTTTTTTATATGTTTTCTATCATTTTGGCAAAGATTGACCACGAATACTTGTCTGCAACACCTCCCCCCCTTAATTGTGAAAGACCTATGTGATCTTTTATCAAGGAATACATTTTTTTTTTTTCCTTTTTTTTGGCAAAAGATTACGTACAGGTGGTCTTTATTATAATAAGATAAATTTCAAAATAAAATCAACATAACAATAAAACCAAAATCTTATCAACTTGATGTCATTAAAACAACTATGCACTATGCTTGAGAATAAAAGATAAGATTGCAAAAAACAAAAGGAAGAGTGCCCGAGATTACGTCAACCGGGTTTATTACACCCAACACCGAGTCACCACCATCCAATGGTGCTGGATCAACGGTCTAACTTCAATCTCAAACCGAGAAAGCAAATTTCGACCAAGCCACACCAATGGAACATGAACCCTTTTGATCACAAACTCAAAACCCTAGGTGAATTCTCTTAGCAACCTAGTTTGAGAGAGATAAATTCTCTTTTTGCTAAATCCTAAAACCCTTAGCCGTAAATCCATATTTGAGAGATAGGAGAGAAAAACTCCATAACCTAAACCCTTAAGTTCTTTCACAATGTGGAAGAGAGAAATCAAACATCTATATTTGAGAGATAGGAGACTAGAACTCTATAACCTAAACCCTTAGGTTCTTTCACAATATGGGAGAGAGAGATCAAACATGAGAGAGATAACCTTTCTTGTTGTCTCTTAAGAGAGAGAGAGAGGTAGAAATATAAGGTGTAGAGATTTTTTGGTAAAGACAAT